ATACATACATACATACATACATACATACATATATATATATATATATATATATATTCAATATACTCAAATATGTTTTTAAAACAATCTGTTTCATTAGCCTGTATTTCCAACACACATTGAGGATTAGAGAAATAAATTTTACAGGTAGCGAGATGCACTTGGACATCTAAAAGTTCGGCGGGACAAAGTGCTTGATTTCCTACTGCGGAACCTTATTTATGTATGTGTGATGCCCTGTTTCGCATTACAATGTTTACTTACGTATTTGATACAACCCTGGGTTCCTTTAATGTGCCTTTCTCTCTAAAAATGCAGACAGCCGAACGGACAATATTTATTTAACTTGGAACAATGAACGCGACCAGCTGGTCAGCTGACTATTTAAAATGCATAGCCTTCTGAAAATAGAACATTGTTAGTTGTGTACGACTGTATTAATACGTCAACTTATGTGTGAAGAAAGTATTAACATAGATGAGAAAACATATGGATATAAAAACAAATGTCTTTGTCCGGGTCAGGCATTTAAAGAACAACAAAAAGAAATTAATCTGTATATATTTATTTAAAGCGTTGCTCTCTGACTCTCTGTATTTTTAATAAAAAATACATTAAAAAGAGCAGTTGCGCCTTTGGGTTATAGGTTTAAACAATATGTGTGGCCTATGGGTGACGGCGTGATGGTCTGAGACCTGACGCCTGTCTCGGGTTCAGTGTAGGCCAGGTCATTAGGACCTCAAGGAACTGATGACTGTATATGCCAAACTCGTTGGTTTCAAACTCTTATTGTTTTGTATGAAAAACAGCAAATTTAGTACAGACGACCCCATACAACGGCAACATAGCTGTAAAAAATAAAACGTCGTGCCGACACATCGTACATGGCTTGTTATCATAATGTTTGTAAGAAAAAAAGAGTGTCAATGACAATGCCTATTTTAGTATTTTCACCAATGATAGGGATTCAATCTACATATCTCTGGCAAAATATCGTACAATACAATAGCGAATCCTATAATGAGTAGATTATGATATGTAATATTTTATAACAGTAACTCTTCGAGTGATTTGTTTTTGTCTGAGCCTTTTACTCTTAATCTAGACTGAAAGACGTGTTTAGTTTGTTTAAAAAAAATAATAGCAACAAGACTGATCTGTCGACCACAGTGATCGGCGATGAGCCGTTGAAATACTGATTTTAAATTTGGGAATTTATCCGGAATCGCTCCGTCTGAGTCTTTATATGCAGTATGACTCAACCAGAGTGAAGTTGTGTGGTCGTTTCATTGTATGTTTCGCCGGAGTTTGCGGTTAAATTGCGGGGGAATACCGGAATACATATGTACTAATACATTATACGCAAAATTCCCACTTTCAACAAGTTTCAAGTGTGTCACGTGTGGAAGAATGTATATTTCAGAGGGTTATGGAAGAAGTGTATTTATTACTTTTCGTGTTGATCAATTATTCATTCGGTGCTTACCCAAATTTAGAAGTCAGAAGTCAGAACTGACTCAAGTCTCAACTGAGAACTGCGTATTTAAAAATAAGTTTAAAAAATAAAATGAAAATTTGTTTTTGTTTAAAACAAAAAAACACTTGTTGCGAGAATGTCAATAGGAGCTGAAAATATTTCGTCAGTTGTTTCCTCGCATTTGATTTGAAGGCTATGGGCAGTCAAAATGAAAACTAATAACTTTGCCGCACACAACTCCCCAGTCCCAGCTCTGAGCTCTCACAAGAGACTTGCAAGGCAAGAAATGAGCTTATGATAAGTGCCCAAGAGAAAATTAAAATCGTTAACGTAAACGTTTTCTGTGGTTCCCTATCTGTCCCCTGCCGGCCTGCCCGTCTTGCTCAGGCCTGGACGCTGGGCCCCTGGGGATGGAAGCTGTCAGGTTGGGCCGCCTGGCGTGGTGTGGTCACTGCTCAAAGAATGACATTGACTCTCGGGGGGTGATGGGCAATGGGCATTATGGCTGATGCAATTGGTATCATGTTACGGGTTTACTGTTTGGTAAGACATGTCATGTCTTTGTTGCCTATATGTATTATTCAAATTGGATATGCATACGACAATATCGCGACATGTCTTTCAGGAAAACCAAAAATGTGTCGTATACTATTACAGAGCAATCGGGCCCAAGAGGTTTCAAGGCTCACAGGTGATGACTCATTTCAGGACAAGTTGGAACCGGGTTGAGAACGTTTGTACGATCGACGATCGTACATAATGTCATACCAACAACTGAGCGGCTTCCGATTCCTCCAATCGAAGGACGGAGGGTCGGAGTCTCCGAGACCAATACTCCTTGAGTAATTAAACCGTGAAATAATAAATAAATAAAAATACAAAAGGAGAAACTCAACTTTGAAAGACGAATGTGAAAAATGGTACATATGCTGTACATATATATTCACGGATCACACACGTAAGAGTCGACAGCGCGAACAAGAGTGCTTATACTATGCGTTTAACGAGCACCCTTGTATGTGTTAGAACATAGCAAGTACATCATGTCAGACTCCCAAGAGGACACGGAAACCATACTGCGCGACGGTAATAGCACTACAGTCGATGAGACATCATTTGACCCTGACACTACACATAATGCATCTGACTCTGAATCGACACATAAGGCATCTACATCTAATACACCCTCACGTGATATAACAGATATAGACACGGGCCATAACACACAAAAAAAAGTAGAGAAAGGAAAAGGGTCTACATCTAGTGCACCCGTAGGCGACAAAATTAAAACAAACGCAAATTACGACACAAGAACACAATCCGAGAAGGGGATGGGGAAATCGAATCTGCATGGAGGCCAGCATCTGGATGGCAATGTAGCTGTACTGGAAGAGGATCTGGATAAGCCACCGAATAAGAATCTGGTGCAAATGAGCACAGCTCAGGCCATAGACAAACAGCCTGTGTATAGTGGTACTACGCATGCAGGCACACGTTATGAGATCCGAAACGAGGACAGAAACAACAATGGTGCTGATCTAGGGCCGAGGTGTGCATGCGTGTGTGGTGGGTTGTGGTTCGCTGAATCACTTCTATCTGTCTGTTTCGTCCTGATTACTTGGATCTGTAGGTTTCAGCTACATTGTTATCCCTACTAATGTGGAGGAAGGGTATTATATACTCGGGTAATAGGGTGTAGTGCCTCTCGGCCTAACCATACCCCAGGTCAGAACCTCGTATAAATGAAAGACAGTCTTACATATATCCATCACACAGTTCTAGAAGGGCGGACATAGTGCATACGACATACTCTAGTCCTAGAATATCCGCCAGTTCAAAATAACATCATTGTGCATCACTACAACACTTCTAACATACACCGTCTAGGTAACCTCACCATTCACACATTCACACATTCATGTATATTCCAGTGTAATCTACTTTTCACGCGTATCATGGACGTGTTCTTCATTGTTATCTACTTCTCACATATATCGTTCACGTGTAGTTCATTGCTATCTACTTCTCACATGTACAGTTCACGTGTAGTTCATTGCCATCTTCTTCTCACATGCACAGTTCACGTATAGTTCATTGCTATCTACTTCTCACATGTACAGTTCACGTGTAGTTCATTGTTATCTACTTCTCATATGCACAGTTCACGTGTAGTTCATTGTTTTCT